TTTTAAAAACAAATACAGTGGATAATGTATATATAATACTAAACTATTAAAGATTATTGAATTAAGCATTTAAAATAGAAAATTATTACCTCAAATTGCAGATAAAAAGTAGACAAAAAATGTTGAGAAATACTTACATGTTGAAGAATTCAATGATAGAAATGCAAAGTTTTTTGACTTTGCAACAACTCCATTATATCCTTCCGAAATATGTACAAATCTCTTTTCTCTCTAAATATCTCAGCCGGCATGTTTATGCAAATTGGATTTTTTATATAACGTGACGCCATCCAAAAAGTTGTCACGACATCTGTCTTAGGTTTGGTAATCGGTTTTGGTGTCACTGGCTTCGGCTGAAATTTATCTTACGAATGAGAAATTTATTCATATAAAATTGCCAAGAGAATGTAAATTCATAAGATTACTCATAAAATGATTTATTTTATTCTACATAACTCGTAGGAACCGAAAAACCATTCAAGACTATAAAGTCAAAAAGATACTATTATAAGTAATTTTAATTACCTTAGCATTTGCACCTTTAACCNAACCTACGAGGCCAAATAATGAAGTTATTTGGCGCTTCTTCTACGGTAGTGACCTCCTCTGTCGGGCATGGCACGGGCGCATCTCCAACGACTACACGTGACACGACAACCCTAACTTCATCCTCATTCATCTTCTTGTGGTGAATGGTTGGCCCAAGGTTATGGATACGTCCGTATGCAACCAAAATTTTTTGTCGGTTCTCCACATACAACTCACATTCTTTATCCTCGTTATGTTCATCCAATGAGAACACATTTGGAGCACAACTCTCTGTAGTGCTTTGGATCCTCGAAGAATTAAGACTAGGGGCAATCGAAGAGCTTTTGTCGATCATCATCATTATTTCATTTTTCATTTCGTCTTTCATTTGGTCAATCCTTCGACTGATGATAGTTTCCATCTCATCTCGCGAGACCATATCTTTCCCTACACCTAAACAGCTCGACGGCCCAAAGAAGTCCTTGATCCTAACACGTTTACCCACTCCCATCACACGCCGGGATGATCCGGCTTTCTTAACGCTGTTGCGAGTATATCGTTTCTCCCAACAGGTTTGAAACTGCCCTGAGTGCATTGTTCTTCTAAAGAATCCTGCATAAAAGGTTAGAAGAATTTACAAAGAGTTTTTATCCATTCATGAATGTACGAGGAACTTAAAATATAAAAACACGTCACTTACGATTTTGTCAGCAACAATTTCGGCTTCCTTTGAAACATAATCTCCTTTATTTGTTATACGAGCTCTTTCCCATAATTCATGATGAGAAGGAGGAGTTGGGGGTGGAATAATTTCGGACGGATCAGTGGAGGCCTCTTTTCTTGCCCTGTATTTCTCGTCCATAATCTTCTGCATAAAAAACGGGTAGCCTCCACGAGATAATATGTGCGGACTTAGATAATATAATTGTGACTCCTGAGCCTTTTTTCTGATTTCCTACATACATATAGATTTAAAAACACAATCAAGAAAAACAACTCACCATCTCAAATATCCACTTTATCATTTCTTTTCTCTCAAACAATTCTTACATAAAGATCAAACAAGTTAACAGAAACAATAGTTACACGCACTTTTGAATATAAATGTTCCCGACAATTTAACTTTAATTGTATGGCCAAATGTACGAGAGACTCGAAATTATATATGTTCATGATAATAATTAACTTACCAAGAACTCAGGAGTTTGACGGGACGCAACAAAAGCCTTCCAAGTGTCCGCATCTAGAAAAGGGTAACCATCGTNCATACGGGAGCACACCTATCTTATCTTCAAATATGTAATCACTGAGTCTAGTTTTGAAACCCCTCCAAGCATCCCCAGCACGTGAAAACACTTTCTCTCTCAATTTCTCATTATCTGGCACATCGTACTGCTCCTGAACAATATAAAGATTCATAAAAAAATAATTAACATTTAATCATTAAATTTTTATTCACATAACTTGTACAACTTTATCACAATAAATCATTGAAGCATTCAATTACCAACTATTGTGTTTTCATAAAATAGATAAATCATACCAATAAAGCTTGCCAAATTTGTTCCTTATTCCTATCAGTCACTTTTCTCCAGTCCGGTATCAAGATGCTTACTTTGCTTTTTCCTAGAACGGCGATGTAGCTATTAAACTTGTTCTTAGTTTTTGGGTCTGGCCCGTTTGCGCCTGAAAATAACGATTGAATGTAACATGTTTCTTTTCTCCGTCTGATGTTTGTATGTCTTTCATCCGTGTCGCTCCCCGACCTTTTTTGGCATGAGTTTCCTTAAGAGCCGTCTTGAGTACTATTTTCAGAAAGATCATCCATTCCTGCATACACGTTTCATAACTAGTAATCGGTTTTTTTATAAGTTATATGAGTGTGCATATATTATTTAAAATCATAAGCTAGATAAAAAAACATATTATTGACTCTGATTTATTTATTNATATATATATATATAGAGTTGAGATCATATGAGAATGATAGAGTGAAAGAAATGAGAATAAATATGGACCATGAGATTAATCATATTAATGGTTATGATGAAGTCAAATATGGTCAATCATTAATGGCAATCTGGTAATTATATGATCATATTGTGGTCAAATATGTACATTTGACTAATAATTAAGGGTAATTTAGACATTTGATCAAAACACATCAATATGTGGGGCCCACCACCTCCCACATTAAAAGTTAAAACCAATCACCTACCCATACCCCAGCCCGTCAATCACCTACCCACCCACCAACAAACCTACTATCTCTCTCTCTCTCACACACTTACACACACACTCTCACTCCTCACATACACTCACAGATTCACATCGGGCACCACCACTTCAACTGCCGTCGGACGTCAGCACCCGCCGCCCGTCGCCCGCCGCCTGTCAGACAAACACCACCGCCGGACAACACCATCTGCATACTGTTGGGTTCCGACCGCCGATACCAAACCGCCGCCGTCGGTCCCGTCACCACCACCACGGCCTCCAATTGATCCACCCCGACCAGGTCCGCCATATCCGCAATCACGTCTCCAACAATCCAACGCCGTCTCTCGTCCGACCACCAGGCCGAATCCGGCGGCGCTCGAGATTTATTATGCTCTTCTCTGACGCCGGCCGCCGCACCTCCTGACAGCTGCCGACGGGGCTTATATCGGCCGTCGACCTCGGCTTCAACGGCGATCTGGTATCCTCGAGAGTCCTGCATTTCTGCGGCTTAAGATGTGGATTTTAGAATGTGAAATCTGATTTGTGGTGTTATTCTTGAGAATTAGATTTGGAAATTTCACGGCTTGAGATGTGTTATTGCAGCTTGAGAATTAGATTTGGAAATTTCAAATTTATTCGGCTTAAGATGTGTTATTTCTTTTGGAAATTTCTACTCGTGATTTTAGGATTTGAAATCTGATTTGTGGTATTATTATGGTAAATTAGATTAACATTGGGTTTTGTTTTGGAATTTTGATAGTAGACAGGGACCTACTCGCAATTTTATAATTTTAATATATTACAATTTAGTTTATAGATAAAATTTGTAATTAGTTGAAATATAATTAGTATTTAATATTTTTATATTTTATTGAATGAATATAAATAATATGTTTACATAAAAAAATATTATAATATTTTTCAATATAGTACAGTCATTCGGTTATTTAAATAAGAAAAAATCATAATTGAACTAAAATAATCGATTTATTTTTAATTAAAACATAAAATAATTGGGCCAAAATATAAAATTTTGGACATAAAATTTTAGTTTGGTCGCGTTCGTTAGATGCTGTGCAATCTGACAGTCACTAATGTGCAATGTTATGTAAATTGCACTTTAACGTTATATAGAAAATATTAAAGTGCACTTTATTTAACATTAATGTGCAATGTAATTATCACTAAAGTGCAATTTTCATAACATTAATGTGCAAGTATAAAAATTTGTATAAATTATAAATTTAACCAATGACCTAAATTGTAAACACATCAAAGTATCAAAATATCGACTCCAACCAAATAACAATAGTGTATATATTGATCATTTTTTCAAAAAATATCGACGCCAACCGTATACACGTTTAATATATCTTTTCAAACGAAAAATATTATTTTAGTCATTTCGGTTAACAAACCAAATATATAAAACCAACCGAACTGTACAAAAAAAATAAATTATATTTTATCTATATATTAATTATTTATTTTCATAAAACAACAATATAAGGTATTAACGAAAATATTACAAATACTAAATATATTTTTGTGTAAAAAACAAATAAATAAGTGCACTTGGAATGCACATTAGTGTTAGTCTGATTGCACATTAATGTTTGTCATATTGCACTTTAATGTTATACGGATTGCACATTAATGACTGACCGATTGCACTTTAGCGACCGAACACATTTGAATTCGTTTGATGTGTTCTAATTTTATGTCGGATCAATTACATGTGTTTACCTTTAAAATTTTAGTTTTTTCTNTGAGCATTTCATAATCTTAGATGAAATGGTTAGTAACCATTTCTACCAACTATCCTTATCGCTGCATGACTTTGGCTAGGAAATCTATTTAGGAAATCGGAGAAACAGGAAAGAAATGAAGAGGGAACATAGGATGTAAAACTATATTGCATCGCTGGATGAATAATATTTTGTTAGGAAATCATTTTTCATCAAGATAGGTTTCTTTACCCGGTGAAGTAAACAATATGTAACAACCTGAACATATATCTCAACATTAAGTGAAAAAATGTATAGCCGTCATTCTCATGTAGTACACAACTATTAATCACCCAAATCAAAAGAACCAAGCCATCAATCCTGAGATCAACATCTTTTATCAACTACACTGTAACTACAAATTAGGTACCAAGACGAAATATTTACAATTCAGTCCAACAGACCTACAGTAAACAACCACAGCAATAAATGACAAATCAAGTTATCAACAGTTCAATTAGGCGCTATTTAGCATTTACCGTGATTAAATTACCTTGATGTTTCTGGTGTCTTCTTTAAGATGGCAAAAGGAGTTCCCACTGGTATCACTAAGAGCTTCTTTACTTAATAATTCTGCACCGAAAATCACCAAGGCATAACTTACTGTCAGAAAATAAAACACGAGACCAAACACAAAACAAGAAAAAGGACAATTTCCTTTCCGAAAATCACCAAGGCATAACTTACTTACGTATGATGTGCTCTCAAAAGAAATATCAGCATATGGATGGAACGATCTGTTGCTAAGCCAAACAATGATCTGCAATGTAAGCATAAAGTAAATGAGAATCAAAAGTGGGTAAAAGTTAATAATATGAGACAAAAGTTTAAATAAGTTAGAACGGACTTAATATGAAGTTACAATTCTGTTAGTGCACACAAGTGTTTTTAATAAAAGAACCAGGTTTCCAATTATAAAGAGAAAAAAACAACAAACAGATCAACATAACAACAAAAAGGGGGAACAAAAACAAGTCCAGAGATTTGAAAGATGAATATATATATATATATATATATATATATAGGATGTGGTTCAAATGAGAACTCTCACCTAGTGTAAGAACAAGGAACCAATCATAACCATCCAATCAATAAATATTAACGGGTTAGATGGAAAGTAATATAATAGTGGAATTTATTTAAAAATTCACATTTATGGAGAGGATGCTATATATGTCATGTTAATTCTTATTAGATATGGTAGTGCACTTTGAAAGTATATGAACTCTTTTGACTGTTACTTTGTTTATTCTTCTTTATTTTTACGGAGTTGTTTTGTTATCTATCTATGTTATTCTTTTTTTTTTTTTCTTTTTCCTATTCAAAACTTTTTTATAATATATTTGTTATTCATAAAGAAAAATAATTTATTTATATGCTAATCATGTACATCACCCATGGAATGCCATTGACCAAGTTCCTATGGTCCTTAAGAATTGATTTTGTTAAATATATTTGTATTTTTTAATGCATAAAATTTTTATACTAGTGTTTTTTTGTCTAAATGTGGTCATTATATTTAGATACCCTATATGAAAATCCAATGATTTCTTAAACTTCTCTAGAATAATTTACTGTGGATTACACAAAAAAACATTTAATGGTTTCTTTATCGGCACCTTTTTTGGCTTTAAAATTTTATTCTATGTTAATGAAAATAGAAGGATAGATTGAATACATATTATTGTATCACATAATATTACCACTTAAATGTTATCATAGTAGCAAGAATATAAACATTCGATAGCATCAAAAACATATTAAGTCTAATAGATTGTTAGTTACTCTGAAGATTTGATAGCTAGCACTAAAAGTTTTAAATAATAGCAACAGATTGAACATTTGACAACATCAATTTTATATTAAGACTAATTGGTTGTTAGCTACATTACGAATCTTTGATGTAGCTAGTATTAATAATTAGAATAGTGGCATATATATAAATAATTGATAGCATTAAGTTCACTAATAATTGCAATGTTATTGCTAGCAATTAGGACGAATTACATTATCAAATCCATGTTATTGATAGCAATTGCAACTCATAAAATTAGAATTACCATGCATATCAAGTTTTAAATTTATTTAATAGCATTGTTAAAATAAGTTAAAATTATATTTTATAAAACAAACTATATAGCAAAACATTTTTGTTTGTTATTCTTATACAAAAAATAATAGCAATGTATTTTTTGTTATATAGTACTCTTTTTTTTTAATTATAGCAATAATCTCTATTAATAATAGCACTAAATTATTAATATAATAGCACAGAGTCCCTCACAATTTACCAGATAGACTATAACGTCGTTGACATTCATCAAATTACTAACTCGCATAGATACAATCTTCATGCAATTACAGTGATATACTAGGACAATTGATATGCTATATGCTTATACTTCCACTACTAGCAAAATTAATTTTCAACTTCATGGTACATATTTTTAAAGCTAGTGTCACGTGTATTTGAAATTAGCATCATCATATAATAAAATGTGCATAACAATTTTTCATTGTTGGGTGTAAAATTTTGTTGGTCAATGTTACCATCTTTATGACAATTTAATTTCCATAAAATATGGGTTGCAATAAAAGAGGAGATTTCCTGCTTTTCTAATTTGTCCCTACTTTACTTATTAGTTAGCGTAATTAAATTCTTAATATACTAAACATAATCTCAAGCGTTAATAATTATAGATTTGAAGGCTAGGATTGGTTCCTAGTTCTTACACTAGAGGTAGTTCTTATTAGAACCCTTCCCTATATATATATATATATATATATATATATAGAATTTGGATCATATGAGAAAGGGAGTTGGTGTAAGAAATAAGAATGATTTTGGACTATTGGATCCAACATACCAATGGTCATGATCAAGTCAATATTAAATATTGTAGTCAAACTTGCAATGGCAGTTTTGTAAATAAGAGTTCAATTAGGAGTCAAATGTATAAAATTGACCATTAAGTAAGGACACATTGGTCATTAAACAATCACCCTCATCCACACCACGTGGGCCCACCACTACCAAACCCTCCACTCTCTCTCACACACTCACACACACAAGTTCACCGGCCACAGTACACACAACCTGCTCCAACACAAGATGCACACACACACACACACACAGCAGTAGCCCCGCCGGCGACCTGAGCCTTGTCGATCCAGATGATGCCGACGTCATCCCCGCCGTAGCCCCGCCGTTCCGGTCGCATCGTCACCATGATGGGCGCCGTCGGGAAATGGACCCATCCCCGCCATAACCCCGCCGTGCAGTCACCGCCCTTCTCCGTTCGCCATCCCTCGCCGCCCGTAGCCGTAACATTCAAGTTTATCCATAGGTCCGGCCGTCCGCCTTCCGGCGCCATCCGCCACCAATCGCCGGCCGCCGCCTCAGAGTTCAACATTTTTCAGAGACGCGACCGTCCGGCGAAGCTCAGCCATCCGGCAAGATAGACCCTCCGTCAGCCCAATCCTCAGTCATCCCCGTCGTCGTCCGCCCAAAACTCCGGCCATCCGGCAAGATAGACCCGACGTCGCTTGGATGGACGAGCTCGCCGGAGACGATGCCGGCGGCTGCACGCTGGCACATGGCGGCGAGGGGTGTCGGGCGTGGTGTGTGTATTGTGTGTGTGTGCGCGCGCATATTAGTCACGGGACTTTTTCTTTGTTTTTTCTTTTTC